AGGATATTTTATTATTTATATTTTATAATTTACATTTAAGTATGCGAGTTTTCTTTTATGATTTGATTTTTTACGAGTGACTCTCCACTCATAAATAGCGTTTAAAAGTGTTTTCATATATATATATATATATATGAAGCTCTCTCTGTCTCTGGTGTCCATTATTTTTTTGCCAGCCATATAAAGTAAAAATGGGATGCAAGCTTGTCTGGCAACGAGTCCATGCTCCATATCTCTTAAGAGTGGTATCTAATTCCATCTCACGAGAGAGAGAGAGAGAGAGAGAGAGAGCCATTTAATTTTCAATCTTTAATATATATTGATTTTTTGTTTATTAAAAGGCGCATCGATGAGCTATGATTACACAATGAGGATAGATAGTTGAGTTTTAATATGCAACATCCATCCGTACTTAATTATAAGCAGAAATACTCCTTACAAAACTTGAGAAGAAAAATAATCGCAAGTGCTTTTATAATGATAAGTTACGCTATCAAATTTTCAAAAAGTTAAAGAATAATGCCATACTAATAATGAATTATAATTTCATATAAATACACATTGTAATTATGAAAACTTAGGATGCTAAACTTGTTCGTAAATTAATCATTTTTGAAAGTCACATAATATATGCTCAAGCAGATTTATTTTTATTTTTTGTTTTTAATATAAGCAAAAGAGTACAGGGAACGCCTATGAATAGGCAACAAGAGAATCGCACCAAGCAGGATTGAAATAAAAAATCACACTATATTACAATCAAAACCCATGCCACTGCTTCTAAAGTGCAAGACCTCATCAAAAGCAGACACCAATTACGATCAACTAGAAGAAAATTCTGCAGATTTACGTACGTTGATACCACCCAAGAAGACTAGAGGAGCACAACTCCACCAGCCAAACTTTAATATATATTAATTACTTGTTTTTATGGTTTGATGCCACTTCTGGCTTGCATCACAGTGCCTTTCTTCTCATCACCAGTCGCGCATCACCATTTACGTTCGGGTCACTGTATGAAATCACACCCGCACTCCCTATTATGGTCTACGCGCATGCGTCAATTAAACTAAGCTCTTTCATATGCTTTACTGCAATATCGTAGCTTGATAAGGAGAAGATCTCTGGTTTCTCGAATATACATGGATATTGAAAGTGATGTGTGCATGCTAATGTATAGAGAAAGAATGTGATATATATGTAGCAATTTGCTAGCTACTCATTACATGGATGCAGGTAAAGTTTCTTCAACATGGTGCCATCTTTCCACCTCTGCAGGGGGGCAGAGCTAGCCCTTGCATGATTACTCAGAGATGCAGGATGTGTGTACGATTGAAGGGAAAAGCGATTGTAAGGACATTGTCCATGCATAATAATGCAACCATTTAACCAAACCCTTTTCTCCTCCTCCTCTTATTTTGGACCACATTTGAAATCAAAATGGTCATGATATGAGTTTTGACAAATTTAACATCGCACAGCCAATCAGTCATGAATCCAAGTACATTCACGCACCGTGGGATCGATTCATCAAAGTCGTCATAAGGGTACACCACATTGCATGAATACATTAACCACGTTAGTTTCTTAATTTAATTTGACTTCTTTTCCTTATATTATAAATTGCTGTTTCAGAAAAAAAAAAGAGAAGAAATTATAATTAGGAATTGATTGCATCGATCTCATGCTCACAAATAAGTTTGAACCATCATAAATATTAACGGTGGAATGAGTCTCACTATTAGGCCTTATTGATGAGAGATTTAAAATCATTGATCAGTATTAATTTTTCCCATCTAGTTAGAAAATAATCACCAAATCTTTATTTAAAAGAAGAAAATACTATCACATCGATAAAATCCGACACCTAAATCTATAAAAACAAAATTAAAAGAATAGGTAATCTAAAATGATGAATAAAAAGAAAGAGAAAGAGAGAGATGTGCCAGTGAGAATCATAGGCAACGGCGAAATGGTTGTTTTTTAAAAAAACTAGGTTTTTGTTCTTTTAGAGAGGAAAGGAGGGGAGGATCGACTTTATATCTTTGCTCTTTTCATTTGGTGTTGGATAACATGATCCATTATATGTTTTTGTTGAATATGTTTTCGAAATAACTTTCATTTAGCCGGGGAAAAAAACCAAACAAGAAGTCAACAGTTTCACGATAAATATAATAAGGCATCGAATCATGTATATACCAATTCATGGTATTGGTACCAATACCTTTGGCCCAAATATCCCTTCCACTAAGAGACGTACATTCGTGTGGGATATCAGAGGATGAGATTCCATATACGAAATGATGTGCCATATATATATATATATATATATATATATATATATATATATATATATATATATATATATATATATATATATATATTTGATGATGATGATGATGCAAAGTCTTGGTCCACGAAAACTTCAACATAAAATGATCTTGGCCTCATGCTTCATGCGGGGACCCTTTGGCGAGACCTACTTTTTCACCGACCCAGATGGAGATATATAGCTGTAAAATGTGAGCATATATATCATATCATAGACGTACTCAGAGCTAGTTCACAGAGAGATTGGTAGGCTAATATAGACAAGAAGGTGCTGTTGGACCCAATGGGGATCCTACGTGGCACGAGCGAAAAGCAACGATGTCCCGACCGTGAGCATCTGATGACGACTAGTCTCTTCAGCCCACAACCGGCGGCTTGGGCGCCACTGACACCACTATCATCCTTTCCTGAACCTTGTGAAGATAACCTAACCCAAGGAAAATTAATTTGAGGGCTTATGATTGCTGCATTGCCTATCAATAGTAAAGCAAAACCTGTCCTGTCGTTCCAAATGGAATATATTCCAATCCATCCTCAAGAGTTTATAAAAGTACTTGATTGGCGCCTTGGTGATCTCTTTGATTGGCAATTTTTTTCTCACTTAAAGTAGTTTTTGACTAGTTTGAGATGCATGCACTCCTTGCTACTCCCTTTCCATTTTGATATATATATATATATATATATATATATATATATATATATATATCTCAATTAATTGATTCAGCGAAGCCTAGTGCTGATCATCCTTAGATCCACACTAAAATTCCCAAACTAATTAATGAACTCGAAGCAAAAATTCAGTTGATATTGCTAGAAATCTTTCTTTTCCCTTAAAAAAAGCTTTTGCCATTGATAAATACTACTGATAGAACATAGCGGATTTTGAATTTTTTGATCAGGGCCTTAGAATTTGAGATGAGCATCTGTATGTGGATTAATTGTGGTGCATCTATTGATCTCTGTGAGGTAAATTGGCCCAAGACTTCCCTGAGTCTTCGATGAAAACTCCTAATTTTAAAATTAAATTACTTCCCCGTAACATTATTTTCTTAAAAAAATACCACCCCTCTGCCGTACGTGGTTTTATCCACTGACCATGTGGATTCTGATGTTTCCATTGACATGTATTGGTCCGAGACTTCCACTAATTTTCCATGAAATTTTCTAATTTTAAAAATTCCTAATTTTATCATGTTTTCATCTGTCTTAATTAAGTGATTTTACCCACCAAATATCCTATACGTGCCGTGTATTTGAAAACATAGTTAAAAATATTATTTTTTAAATTAATTTAATTTTTATATTTTTAAATAACTTTAACATGTCAATATTAAAAATAATTTTAAAAAATAAAAAAATTATTTCAATATATTTTTAAATAAAAAACACTTTAAACCAATTAAATTTTCAAACACCAGCAGCTATTATGTTGGTTAATGAAATTAGAGCCCGTATGAAGTGATCGTGACATTAGAAATCATGCATAAACAAACAATAAAAAAATAAAATTCTGGACATTAACAATTATATTTTTTTTTGACAGAAAGTTCAGAGAATGTTTAGACCTATTATTTTTATGCGGTGTCTAAATGTAGACGACATAGACTATTTAGTTGATAAAATTATGTGGTTCCATCAAGTTCGAAATATATTCTTTATTACATTCAAAATAAGAGGACTAATTCGCAAATAGAAAAGTTATTTTTTTATTTAAAAGAATTACTCATTTAACGAAAACACAAAGTAGTCACGAATCTTCAAAAACAATAACGCATGGTCATAAAGTTGTATACATTTATAGCCATGCATCCGGCTATTAATACTGTTCTGTGTATCATTTATCCTAACTTCAATTTCGTCATACACAATTCAATTTTTTTTATTTTTTTACTAGAAAGAAATAAAAAAATAATTTATGGTCCCTTAAGCTGGTGGTGATGTGACCCTATAATGCTATCTTGTAATTTTTCCCTTTTTAAAACTTTCAATTTCACGGCAAGAATAATTTGTAATTGAGGTTCTTGTGGCCACCTAATTGACCTGAAATTAAATTCTGATTAAAAAAATAAGTGAATTTCCTTTTAAATTTCTCATAAATGTCAGAAGAATTTTTTGAGTGAATTACTTGAAAATGGATCAAGATCCTCAGATATTTTCGAGAACATTAATTATTTAGTATATTCAAATCAACAATTTTTTTATAATTTAAATAATCAGATACTCCTATTGGAGAAGTACCATTCCATATTATATATATATAATAGTTCGCTTAATTCCTACAACAACCACGCAGTCAGCAAAAACACTGGCCGGGCTTGGGAGCAAATATTTCCCCAGTGGGAGTTGAAAGTTAATGGTAATATTAAAGAAAGTATAAAGGGCATAAAAAACTCTCTATTATGACAATAATCTACGTAAAGAAACAATTAAAAAAAATAAACTGTCACAAAATAGTCATGCAAAAATAACAGTATGAAAAAAAAAGAAAAAAAGAGGGGACAGACGCAGGGAAAAAAAGGTACATTCGACAGTGACAGTTCCACCAAGGATGCCCTTACCAAGACCTGCTTTTCTTAGCTTTTTAATTCTCTTAATATTTAAAATAAAATAATATAAAATATTAAACTTCACTGCTCTCTGCATGGCCACTAATCACATTATACAAGAGGTCTGGGGGATGTTGTAAATTAAAAACGAAAGAAGCTTACGGGTTAAGATACGAGAACTATTCACTTCATTCCTTTCAAACCCTAAGCTTTAAGAAATTTAATAAAACAAAAAGAAAGAATTTTGAGGAGGAAGATGGTTAAAGAACAAAATAAATAAACACACAGACGCCTCCTTTATCTTTCCATCTCCTTCTCTTTCTGTCTGCAACTCTCTTCTCTTGATGTGATTCTCCACCATATCTCCCCCCTCAAAAAACCCTATCAAACTTTACAAAAGAGAGAATTAAAGCTCAAGCACCATGGTCTTCTCATCCATTCCGGTCTATCTAGATCCACCCAACTGGCAGCAGGTAGTTTCCCCCCCTCTTATTTTCTCTCTACTTGCGACTAGATAGCTAGCTTCCTCTCCAAAAAAGCAATTCAAAAGATAAATAATATTCCTATCCTTCACTTTTTTTTTAATTTTTATTTTATCTCCTCTTGAATATACTAAATATTTGATTTCTTTCTTTTGTTTTTTTTACTTTTGATTTTGCAGCAACATAATAATCAACCTCCAGCTGGAGCTGGGAATGAAAACACTCAACTTCCACCGCCGTCAGGACCACCTACAGGTGGTGGCGATGGTGGTGGCACCACAGCTGGCTCAATCAGGCCTGGATCGATGACTGATCGAGCCAGGCTAGCCAAGATTCCACTACCTGAGATGGCCCTTAAATGTCCAAGATGTGAATCAACAAATACCAAATTCTGTTACTTCAATAATTATAGCCTCACCCAGCCTCGCCACTTTTGCAAGACTTGCAGGCGATATTGGACTAGAGGAGGTGCACTAAGGAACGTGCCAGTTGGCGGTGGCTGTAGAAGGAACAAAAGGAGCAAAGGAAGTGGTAGATCAAAATCTCCAGTTAAAGCTGGGTCTAGCTCAAGTGGTGGACTTTCTTCTAATGGTGGCACTACTGATATTACAGGGAACATGGCCACTCCACCACCACTGTTACCAATGTTCCCACCTTTACATCATCTTGGTGACTATAATTCCCCAGATATTGGGTTAAATTTTGGTGGAATCCTGCCTTCAGTTGGGGCAACAGCTGGTGGTGGTGGTGGTGTTGAATTTCAGATGGAAAATAGTACTAGTTCAAATAGTGTTGGTGGATCTGTTTTATCCAGTGGACTTGTTGAGCAGTGGAGATTGCAACAAGTGCAACATCAAGTTCAGCAATATCCTTTCTTATCTAATTTGGAACCATCAAGTGGATTGTATTCATTTGAGGGTGGAGGGATTGGACCATCAAATTATTCTGGTCAGATTCGGTCGAGGCCATTGGACAGTACTGGGGTTACTCAGCTAGCTTCGGTCAAAATGGAAGAGAATCAAGGGTTGAATTTATCAAGAAATTTTTTGGGAATTTCAGGAAACGATCAATACTGGGGTGGGAATAATGCATGGACCGATCTTCCGGGTTTCACTTCTTCTTCTACAAGCCATCTTCTATGATTTTGATGTGCTTTCTATCCAAAACTCCACCCAATCTTGGTGTTTTCTATTGTACTACTACAGGTTCACTAAAGCTATCAGTAATTAACTCGAAGAAAAAAGACGTGTTTCAAGTTTCAACCAATTATCCTAACTCTGCAAGTTCCAATCCCTAGAATCTTTATGCTGATCGACGTGAAGGATGGATCATAGAACTTGTCTATTCATGATCTACTGAATTAAAGAACTTAGAAATGGTAGGGCTTCTAGTCTTGAAGTTTATTTTTCTGTTAGCAATTTTTTTCCTTGTATTCTATTCTATGGGATTATGTTACAAAAGTAGGGTATATGTTTTCATGGAGTTGGATATCTGACATGAATGGCTTAAATTATTATAATTGGCTTATCAATATAAGCAGCGCAGTGTACTCAGGGATCGATTTTCGTTGATATGATATGTGAAAAAAAAAAAACTTCTTTGTTTGCACAATATGCTTCTTCTTTCAATCTGTGAAAGTTATGTTTTCTTCTTTCTTGAGCATCATCCCCAAAATTTGGAAGAACATTTTGTACATTGTCTAATTATATCATGATGGTCTTTATCATTTGCATTAAATTCATGCATCCTTGTCCTCGTGATTGAGTTTGCTTTTATCGAACCCGTCTTTAATGCTAAAACGAACCCCTCTAGCGAAGGAATTCGGCCTTTATTCTTGTTAAGTGAAAGTAGCTTCAGAGTTCGACGAGCCTCACTATTTTCATGAAATGTACACAGGTCTCCATACCCTGCAAGTCTGCAACTCTCTTTCTTGTGCCCGTTATGCTGATAAAACTAGAAAGAGAACAACCACGTACACTGATGAGACAATGTTTAGGGTCTTCTTGGCCTTTTAAGGTTAACACAGTGGGCAATCTCCCTTTTCTGGCGAGTTCTTGATGGTTATGTTATACAGTTTGTGTTTGGAGATATATAAAAATCAAGTGCTTCCTACCATGTTATCAAAGCTTCATTGATCAAATTAAGAATCATGAGTTTTGAATCTAGCTACCATTCCATTCTTTTTTCTAATTTAAATTGAATACAGACCAGATAGTGATGAGTTTGTGCAAATCTTAAATCAAAATTGTTTTAGTAATATAAAATCGTATGGTGGAAACTTACCTAAACTCTTGGATTGGATTGAATGGTTCCCTGACTCTTCCTTGATCTTTCTTAGTCGTCAAGATTTTTTTCTTTCTTTCTTTTTTCTTAGTACCTCGCATCATCGAACTTGAAGTGAGTCATTCATTAATTTCCCGGCAACCTCAGTTCCCTTAATCATCCATTTCCCCAACTTCAAATTCCTAAATGTCTCGTTGCCCTCATAAAGTCTTAGGAATTATAACCTGGGACAAGTTATTTTTCACATGCCCAAGAAAAATCGCTGTTGAGCACATTAAGCTTTGTGCCCTCAACTTCTTTAGATTTTGACACAAAAGTGACGGAGTGAGAGTTGAGAAGAGAGAGTGGTAAAGAAGAATATCGTTTTGGAAGGTTTTGGACGTACTTATTTGTTTGTTTTGTGTGGAGACTGGAAATGATTATACAATTATGGGTGATTGACCGATTGAGAAGTACTTATTTGTTGTATCCGTGCTTGTTAGAAACTGAGAGTGCTAGAGATAGATGTATATGGACAAGAAGGTGCAAAGGAAAGAAACGCCAAAATTCCACTCAAATCCACGCATAGACACCCCATGATCTAGTATAGGATTCTTGGATTTTGTTTGCGAAAAACTAACGTAAGACTACAGTCTCTAGTCTCTAGACAGAGTCAAAAGTTATGCAAGAATGTACAAAAACTGCTAGAACTTCTTCAACTTTTTTTTGATTTTTTGTTCCCTGACCAATATTATAAAAAGAAAAACATAATGTCTGTAATCTCAACCGTGTTTTTTGGGGATTATGATCGTCATTATTGAAAATCTTTGTTGGGTTTGCATCTTAGTATAAGGGAATATTGGAATCTGGGATTTAGATCTGCTTTCCCAAAAACCAAGGCTATTTACCATAAAGGAATAAAGCCATTTCTAATCTGTTAAAAAAGTAAATCTCTCTCTCCCCCTCTCTCATGAGATTGAAACAGTGATTGTGGACATGGGTTTTTTTGTGGTCGGTTGGTTGTGAGGGATTTTGATGAATGACGAGAGTGATCCGAAAATTGTCGATCGAAATGTGACTCGGTGAGGGTGTGGGTGATAAAAAATAGAAAAAGAAAACATAGACAAGAAAGAAACAAGGAGAAGAAGATTTGAAGAAGGAGCTCGGAAATCCAAGCAACGGCATGTTGTATTAACGTTTTTGTTGATGCCACATGTAATGTTATAGTTTAGGCGTGAGGATGCTCTCTCTGCTTCCATGGCAGCTTTCGCTTTTGAGATGCATTGTTTTTTACTTCTTTAAATCTCTCTTTCCCTCTCCCTCATGAGCCTCTGAGATTCCAGTCTTTCACTCCTCACGTTCTTCCCCATGTGCTCGATCATGCAATTTGTTAGATTCTTGGTCATTCTCGCTTTGGAAATTAATCAGAGGTTGCTTTTTTTTTTTTAAGAAAAAAAAAAGAATGGCAAAATGACGAGAGTGCCACATTTTTTTATTTTTCAAATTATATATAAAGTGAAAGAATAACTTAAGTTAGATTTTTTTTCTCAAACAAATATTTAAATAACCCATTGACATTCACCTCGGAAAAAACAAAAGGAAGCATAGATATTCCAAGCTGTAATTCCTCTATATATATGTTCTTGCTACTGTAAAAATATCAATGATGATAAACAGAGATATTCAATTTATGAACAGCTTTTTTAAAAGTATATTTTAATTAAAAAATATTAAAATATTTTTTATTTTTTAGCATTAACATATTAAAATCATGAAAAAATCTAAAAAATATTAATTTAAAATAAAAAATAATTAAAAGAATACTTGAAAGGAAAAGTTTTGAAAAATAGGACTGTAGAGTGTCGTCAGCACTGCCTATTTTGTCACGCTCAAGTTTTGCGTCGGCTTAAAATCTTTTGCTTCCTTTAGCCTGGCAATACCATGGATTATTGCGATGACGCTGGACCCACATACTACCTCTTTTCTATTTTTCTTATGTTAATTTATATATATTATTATGTTCTCTTTTTAAGAATTATGAAAGTACGAATGTACTAGTAAAAATAACTTAAATGTCTTTTATCATGATAAAAAAAATCATGTGGGCTTATGTTAATAATGGTATACTTTTGATTATAAGATTAGTAAACTTATGAGCTAATTATTGAAAAAATCAACAAGTAAAACGTACTTTGGTTTTATATAAACTGTTTAGAAATGAGCAAAATTCTTATTCAATAAGTGCCGGAATATCATGTAGAACTATGACTTATCTAGGCCATGATGAATTATCGTATATGTTGTTAATCACTGTGTCGAGCCTAACACAAGCTTAAACTACTAAAAGCGTCCATACGGACAGAGAAACATCAAGGGAGAGCACATTAATCTTTTTTAGAATTATATATGGAAATTAGAATTTATTTATTTTTTGGTTGATTTGTGATCAAGATGAAAAATAATAAGTCACTTTTATTTATTTTTTTAACGGAAATTAAGCTACTTTTGTTTAGTTTCACATGGAAACTCTGATCATGGAATCAAAAAAATAATTTATGTGAAAAATCAAAACATTCATCTAAGATTTTCTCCGAAGTTTGGTTTTTCCTCGAGAGAAATTAAAAACAGTATCTCCAGTAAGTAGAAGAATGAAAAGGTGAATATTCGAAGTGGATTTTGACTAGAAACAATCTCTGATGACTATTGCATCATTGTTCTTGAGTTTTTGTCTGCTGATTCGTGAACTTATGATTAGCTAGATGTTTCTGTTTGTTAGAGGCAGCACGTCAACAATCGGGAAAGAAAAAACCAAATACCTATCCCTTTTTTAGTATGTTTATGCGCACCTACGTCATTGACCAATACCAGCAGCGGTACTGCGCCGTAGACTTTATGAACCATGGTAGCGAGGAAGCTAGCTAGGAATGAAAGTTAATTACAACGACGAGACAAGGTTTAGTGATTAATTAAGGCACTTGTAGGCACAAGTGTATCTTATTTCTTATTCATCTAATTTTTAATCTTGGCCTAATTGACATAGTTTTGTTCGTGTTCGGGCTAAAGATCTCATTGGATGAATGTTTATACTCTTTGCTCTCCCTTACATCATTTACCACATAAAAGTTATTGGAATTTTGCGTGGAGAAGCACTAATTTTCATTCGAACACAGCTTTGTAATGATATATATATATATATATATATAAACACAGCTTTGTAATGATTCTAATATATATATATTGCATCCTGCAATAATTATGCAAGCACACATGTCTTCATATGGAGAGAAAACACATAGATATATATAGAACCACATAGTTGACCCATATCCTGAAAAAGGACTCTTTTTTGCCCCCCTCAATGCCGGACACATTTTTTTTTTCTTACACTTCTAGATAACTAAATCCTCATGATCTGTAATTATCTTCACTAGCACAGGAGAACATCCTCACGAAAAAAATCCCAAAAGCCCTTTGAAATTGTGCTGCCGGGGATATTATACTTGAAGGGCAACACAAAAAAGGAGATCCCATTTAGAAGCATATATAAGTAAAAAACAATAATTAATATCACCAAGTATATGCACCATTATATAAAAAACACGTCCCTTTGTCATTTTATTATTCCTTTAAGAGATAATACTGATTTTATTTATGCTTATAATTACAAAATAGTTTTCATTTGGTTATAACATTTCACAAAATTAAGTACCCGAGGATCGTTGCAGCCAAACTTAAAAGAAATCCACCATCAAATGTTTCCTTTTCTTGGTGGCGCATTCCCTAAGTTGTTAAATGCTTCACGAATCCAATATTTCAATTAGGTGAAAAATAATCAAATAGTAATTCGGTCATTGATCATCTAGGTTATAGTAATCATCAATTTTTCCAGTCTCCCTCTTCCTTACTCGTAATTGAAGACGATGTTTTGAGGGCATCATTGTGTTAAGAGCATATATAACAACAATATTATAGTATGTTTGTATTAATTTCCAAGGCTAGTGATTTCGCAGGCCCTTAAATGCAATTTGGAACGTGCCGTGGTTCTTTCCCTGCTGAATTTTACTTTTACCAAATAAGTTAAAGACAGCGATCTCCTTGATTTTTATTGTTTGAATCTATCTTTATTCGTATGTAACAGAAAGATTCTATACTAATTCTAGTATTACAAGCTGTAAAGTCGAAACTAATTTTCAATACTAAAAAGAATATGCTAGCAAGGTAGTTTTAAAATAAAAATGATTAAGATTGGAGAGGTTATCTTTTTTTTTAAAAAAAAAAAATCTTGGACTGTTGTAGAAAAGAAAAACGAACAGGTAAAAGATACTAGATTAAGCAGGACTTGCACAAAC